CAGATGTTTGAGTGGACTTCACAAAACAAAGGATGTGACGTTTTCAGCTTCCTCGCTCTATTTTTTATGAAGTTATGGTCTCTCAGAAATGCTTAAAATTAAAATTCCAACGGGCCATAACTGAAAAGAACGACTGAAGGGATTGAGCTAAAATTTTAGATTCTTTCAGGTGGTAATTTCAGACACTTGTTGAATTTTTTTTTTTTCAGCCAAATCTGAGACGGCTCATAGGGGAAGGCGGCTGATTTCATACGGACTGACCCACCTTTGTTCAAACCCTCCACCAGAAAAGTTACATAGTTCGCCTTGAAGGGGGAGTGACTTAGCACGGGGAGCAAAGAGAAAGGAGAAGTGATTTTGAAAACAATAAAAGTTAACACGGGAGATATTTATTGAGTCTTTTCAGTGACAGTGACAAACACGTAAACAGTTAAAGAGACACTCCGTCGCTTTTTCATGCGGAGCGTTGGCCTCCTGCTTGTATCCGTGGAGACGTTTTGCTTTGTCCGGAATGTTCCACAGTGGCCAGTCACACGGTTAACACCAAGTGAATCCGACTGATGAATCAAACTAGTTTCACAGTGTGCCATTAAACCTTTCTATCTTCACGGAGACCAAACCAGACCAAGCTACAGGTCAGATCTGTGGAGAGGCGACGCCGCTCACAGCCTTTCTAGGTAAGGCGAGGTAGACCTGTTTAATGTCACACTGTGGAACATTCCAGGCAGAGCAGTGGCATTTCCATAGATTCAAGCAGGTGACAGACCTACTACAGAAAAGTTACACAGTGCACCTTTAAAACAGAACACATCTGCATGGAAAATAACATCCAAAAATCAGAGACAATCAGGAATTTTTCTGACCGTTTTAACCTTCATTTAACTAAATAAAGGTGTTCTCATTTATTTGTATTTGTCTGATCATAATTATTGTGTAATTTAGACACGTTTTGGCTTTGTTTACATTATGGTTGCTAGGTAACAGTTACAGAATTACCTCTACGTATGTCACATCCTGCTGCCTGTGTCCAACCTGGAAGTAAAATAATGACAGAACTTCATAAAAAATAAAATAAAATAAATTTAAGAAGTTAAAAATAAATAAATAAATAAATAAAATATCTAAAACAAAAATTAAAAAATTAAAAAAATTAAATGTAAAAAATTTAAAAATAAAATAAATGTAAAAATAAATAAAAATTAATTAATTAATTAAAAAACATACAAATAAATTAAAATGAAAGAAAATAAAATGAAAAAAAATTTTTAAAAAAATAAAATTTTAAAATCAAATTTAAAAAGTAAAATACATGTAAAAATAAATAAATAAAGATGTTAATTAATTAAAAAATACATTAAAATATATTAAAACGCAATAAAATAAAATGAAAGAAAATAAAAAAGAAAATAAATTAAATTTTAAAAAAGAAAATAAATTAATACAAATAAACAAAAATAAATAAATAAAATTAAATCAAATAGATTTTTACAGGTGCACTGTATAACTTTCTGATCACCGTCACCTGCTTTTCTTCGTGGAGATGTTCCTGCTGCTGCCCCTAGAATGTTCTGCAGTGTGGCATTAAACTTATCTATCTCCATGGAGACCAGGCCGAGTTACAGGTCAGATCTGTGGAGAGGCGACCCCGCTCAGAGTGAGAAAGAATACGTGTTTATCAAGGTATTTTTGAGCAATAAAAACAAACAAAATTGAATAAATACAAACTATAGTATATAAACTGAATGCTGCACTGTGGAACTTTCCAGACACAGAAGTGACATCGCCATGGAGACAAGCAAATAGTGGACGCCCCAGAAAAGTTACATAGTGCACGTTTTAGTGAAATGAATCATGTGCACTTTAAGGTTTGTGGGTTTTTTTTACCAAAAAGTCTCTCATGTTTGACTAATCCTCTTGTGATCATCATACAGAAGTGCTCCTCCGTGTTTTTAAAGTCCACACATCTTCACCAGACACGGCTGATGTGTTGTAGTAGTATGATGTAATAAATAATATCCATTGGTTCATTTACATTTGTAGAGTTCAGTTTTGTGATTTGAACAGTTTTGAATTGAGACTTGAGAGTTGGTTTGTTTAGGCCTTTTTGCGCGGCACTTTGTCTCCGAGAGGAACCTCGTCCATCAGTTTCTGTGAAGAAACCAAAATCAAGGTTAGGTTTAAAACAAGAGAAAGAAAAAATATAGAGAAGACAGGAAAAAGGAGGTCAGAGGAGCAGAGGAGCAGAGGAGCAGAGGAGGAGGTCAGACGAGCAGAGGAAGAAGGTGAGAAGGTCTGAGGAGCACAGGAGAGGGTCAGAGGAGCAGAGAAGAAGGTCAGAGGAGCAGAGGAGGAGGTCAGACGAGCAGAGAAGAAGGTTGGAGGAGTAGAGGAGAAGGTCAGAGGAAGAAAGGAGAAGGTCAGAGGAGCAGAGGAAGAAGGTGAGAAGGTCAGAGGAGCAGAGGAGATGGTGAGAAGGAAGCAGAGAAGCAGAGAAGAAAGGTCAGAGGAGCAGAGGAGAAGGTCAGAGGAGCAGAGAAGGTCGGAGGAGCAGAGGAGAAGGTCAGAGGAGCAGAGGAAGAAGGTCGGAGAAGAGAGAAGGTCAGAGGAGCAGAGGAGAAGGTCGGAGAAGCAGAGAGAAGGTCAGAGGAGCAGAGAGAAGGTCGGAGGAACAGAGGAGAAGGTCAGAGGAGCAGAGGATGAAGAGGAGAGGGTCAGAGGAGCAGAGAAGAAGGCAAGAGAAGCAGAGGAGAGCGTCAGAGGAGTAGAGAAAAAGGACAGAGGAGCAAAGAAGAAGGCCAGAGGAGCAGAGGATGAAGAGGAGAGGGTCAGAGGAGCAGAAGAGAAGGTCAGAGGGTGAGATGACACAGAGGATGACGCAGAGGAGCGCTCAGACCTGTAGCAGTCTGGTGTAGTAGCTGAGGTTGTCTTCTCCGTCTCGGCGGCTCTCGTCCACCTTGTACCTTCTGCAGGCCAGGAGCAGCTCGGTGGAGTTGAAGAGAGGAGCCGGGTCCAGAGAGCTGCTGTTGATCAGACTCACCAGGTACTCGCGGTAATGCTTCCTGTGAACACCAGAGGGCGACGACACAACACAAATATGGAGTTAGACCAACCGTTTGTAAATAAATGATTATGGATTCATGACTCAACAGAATATTTGTCTTGTTTTGAGTGATTTTAATTCCTATTTATATATATATATATATTTTTTTTATTTTTACTGTTTTTTTGTTTACATTTTAAACAGTTTGCAGTGATCCAGAGTTATCACTTAACTTAAACATTCTAATTATTCACCACGGTGTGTTTATCAGCACTTTTCACAAATTCAGAGCAATAACTAGCAATAACTAGCATGCTAACAGTGCACCAGAGTTGTCATTTTGATCCTCTGAGTCATTTATTCAGTTTATCTGTGTTGATGTGAGAGTAGAACAAGAGAGTGGATCTGGAGACACACAGTGGACGTGTTAAACTCACTCGCAGAGTCCAGCGTGTCCAGGCTGAGTCTGAGCCCCACAGGCCGAGTCCGACTGCTGCCCCCCCTCGTCCTTCTGCTCCAGCACCCCACACTGACCTGAAATATACAACAAAATATATACAACTAATATAAATACACACAACAAAACAAATGAGACTGAACCCCCTCGTCCTTCTGCTCCAGCACCCACACTGACCTACAACAAACACATATATATCACACATACAGTCAGTGTTGGGTGTTACAGGAACATAACTTATTTGGGTAAAAATAGTCTAACATGCTTCTACTGAAAATTTGGTAAGAAAACATAGTTTCTTTTTCAGTTTGTGTACGCGGGCCGGCCTGGCGGTGAGACGCAGTTGGGGAGGACAGTCTGCCCTGGTCAACAGTCGCGCCAGGAGCAGGGGGCCCGTCCCCGCCCGGGCAGAGAGGGCACACTGGGCACCCACGGCCCCGGGAAGCAGCTAGGTCCTGGTGGGAGGAGCTGTAAAGCACACCTCAAGTCTTTCTTGGCCGAACCAGAGCCCGACACACAGGCAGAGGTCCGTCGAGGGGGATCCTCCCACACCGAGCGGCCGTCCTGACCCAAGCTGAATCCCCCGGCAGACTGTGCAGACCCCACCCGTTTACCTCTCAACGGTTTCATGTCCTCTTAAACTCTCTCTTCAAAGTTCTTTTCAAATTTCCCTCATGGTTCTTGTCGAGTGTCGGTCTTGTGCCGTATTTAGCCTTAAATAGAGTTTACCACCAAAAAGTAATGAGTAACATAAAAATGTTACTTCCCATACAGGGTAACTAAAGTAAAGTAAGAGATTACTTTTTAAAGAAGTAACGAGTAACAAGCACACTACACTACTTTTTTAAAGTAACTTCCTCAACACTGCATACAGTATATACAAGAACTATGTACTACTATATAAGACTGCATATAACACATATCACATATCACATATAACTAACTCTGTGGCTGTTTTTATATGACAGATATTTATGAAGAACCAGCTGCACTTACCCGTCTGTGTCCCAGGGGGCGCTTCAGTGTTGAACGCCACTCCATTATTCTGAAAGAAAAAACATGCAAGTAGAACTAAACCAGGTCTAAACCAACTGTATCCCAGAACTACACCAGAACTAAACCAAGTCTGAACCAGGTCTGAATCAGATCGACCCGGGTCTGACCTGCAGCAGGGCCTGAAGTCTGGACGGCTCCCAGTCCCTGAGGTAGAAGAGACAGTCTCTGGGGTGATGAGCGTGAAGCCCGGAGACGCTGCACTCGTCCACCGCACACGTCTGCACACACCACCATAACAATAACAATGATAATAATAATTATGATAATAATGATAATTATTATAATAAAGTACAATAAAATAATAATAAAAGTGTGACTCACGGTGTGGAAGGGATTGTTGCAGCCGCTGCAGAACTGGTACCTGCACTGAGAGCAGCAGAAGTGCATACAGCCGCCTTTAGACAGAGCGTACTGGAACCTGCAGTGAGGACACGCTGGGGACAAGAGACAGACAAGAGAGAAACAAGAGACAGACAAGAGAGAAACAAGAGACAGACAAGAGAGAAACAAGAGACAGACAAGAGAGAAACAAGAGACAGACAAGAGAGAAACAAGAGAGAGACAAAAGAGAAACAAGAGAGAGACAAAAGAGAAACAAGAGAGAGACAAAAGAGAAACAAGAGAGAGACAAGAGAGAAACAAGAGAGAGACAAGAGAGAAACAAGAGAGAGACAAGAGAGAAACAAGAGAGAGAGAGAAAACAAGAGAGAGAAACAAGAGAGAGACAAAGAGAAACAAGAGAGAGACAAGAGAGAGACAAGAGAGAGACAAAAGAGAAACAAGAGAGAGACAGAGAGAGACAGAGGAGTAAAAGTGTTTATCCATGTGACCCAGGAGTCATATTCCAGCGAAAGTGTTTCAGATTTGTATAAATTCATGTAAATCTGTAAATGCAGTAGAAGAATAAAGACTAAATTCTCACTGATGCCGTTGTCGCGCAGGTACCCGGCCAGACCCTGCCTCTGATACTCCGGGTCGTTCTCTCTCTTCCACGTCTGGTACTGTTCACAGGTCAGACCCGCGTGCTGAGACTCCCACTGCACAAGGACACGAGGGCACGAGGACAAGAGGGCACAAGGACACGAGGACACGAGGACACAAGGACAAGAGGGCACAAGGACACAAGGACACGAGGACACGAGGACACGAGGACACGAGGACACGAGGACACGAGGACACAGGACACGAGGATATGAGGGGACAAGGACAAGAGGGCACGAGGACAAAAGGGCACCAGGGCACGAGGATACAAAGGCACAAGGACACAAGGACACAAGGGCACAAGGGCACAAGGGCACAAGGACATGAGGACACAAGGGCACAAGGACATAAAAACTTATCAAGTAAAAAGCTCTTGCTTCATGGACAGATCATTTCACTACTTTGAAGTCATTTTCTGATAGATTAAAGTGTTTTTTGCAGTGCCGTGCAGATAGAAGCAGCTCTCGTGTCCTGTCTAAATCTAACTGTAACGCGTTTTAGTGTCCGGTGAACAGGATGTGCTTGATTACCATGCTAGTAGTCATGAAAAGCAGGTGTAAAACTCATCAAAGTGCATAATTAGGATGCTCAGAACGCCAGTGACGGTCAGTGCAAACCGTTTAAAATGAACAAGTTTCAGTTCTGTAGAAATCAGGTACAGGGCCTTAAAGCTGCACTGTGTAACTTTTTGGTTGTTTCAATGGATAGGCTGTCTGGGAATGTTCCGCAGTGTGACATTAAACAGCTCTATTTTACACGTATTCAATTACAGGTGATTTTAAAGCTCAGAAATCCCTAGAAAAACAAACATTCTGACTGTGAGCAGGGTGGCCTCTCCACAGAGCTGACCTGTAACCTGGTCTGGTTTGGTTTCCATGAAGACAGAAAGGTTTAATTTCATACTGTGAAACATTCCAGACAAAGGAAGAACATGTTCACGGAGAAGAGTATTTGACGGAGCCTCCACCAGAAAAAAAATTACACAATGCAGCTTGATAGAAACATGTGAGGAGCAGAGTGAGCGTGAACATTAGGGACGGGCATTCGATGAAATTTTCTTAATCGATCGTCGGAAGAATTAACGATCGATTATCGATTAATCATTAACGTTTCTATATTAAAATGATCATCATTATTATTACTATCTGCACTACTAATCTGCATAAATAAATTCAACTTTACGACATATAAACATAACGACTCTAGAGCCACATCAGCTGTTTGACATTATAATGTGTTTAATTCAGTTTTGTTCAACTCTCACAGAAACAAAACTTAAAACCACATCACTAATTTACATAAACTAAGTGAAGATAAAACTACAGCTCTTGTGTCGCTGATGCAGTTCAACTTCTGTCGATTTAGAAGACATGACTCAGGTGAATACAGGTTAGTGTGACCAGATTTGTGTTTGTCAAAACCAGGACAGCGTACGGGGGGAGGGGGGCGGGGCCTCGTCATCCACATTGAGCGACTCTCACCTGGAAAAAACTTTTTCCCACTGGACACAGAAACATATGTGCTGCTTTGTTCACTGTGCACATGGACTCACACTTGTCCCGAACGCAACGGAAAGTGTGGAATGTCTTGTACAAATCATCGTTAAATCCACATTTGTGCTTCGGTTCGTTACAGACTGACCCACTGTTTGTGTCTCGCTCCTTCTGATGCAGAGACACATGTACACACCTGTTTGGTCACACTACACACAACAACCTACATTCGGTTTGTCGATTAAAATTAACGTAATCGATGAAATTCTTAATGATCAATTATCGATTAATCTAATCATGCCCATCCCTAGTGAACATAATTTAACGTTTGGTTCTTTGCTCACCGGTTTCTTGCACTGAGCGCAGAAGCTGTTGCGACACTGGAAGCAGGTGACTTTGAGCTGGTCCCCGTCGTAAATGAAGCCGTACGAGCACTGAGGAAACGAGAGGAAGAACACAGCGGAACAATCAGAGAGCGAGGAACATAATATATGTATATATGTATATGTATATACATATATACATGTACATATATATATATACATATATGTATATGTATATATACAGAATATAATCACATGTTATAAAAAGCTTCACAGCATCATTCACTCCACACTCAAAGGAGGAAATACACTCTTGTAGCCACAGCTGCCCTGGGACAGACAACACTCACGTCAAATTTTTACTAAGCAATGTGGGTGAAGTGTCTTGCCTAAGAACACAACATTGCCCCAATGCACTGGTTAAAGTGAGGTTCAAACTGCTATTTACATTTTTTTTTTTAAAAACACATTTTTGTAATTTTTACTTGGTCCGTGTATCATTTGTTCTTTTGAATTTCAACTAAGAACAAAAAACAATAAAATAGAAAAACAGTTTACTTCATTTTTCTGTTTTAGTGTCAAACAAAAAACAGATTTTGACCTTTATTTCCAATATTTAATTTAAAGATGACTTCAAATAACACCAATCAAAAAACTGTCTCTGTGCTTGTTTTAATCTTGATATTTTATTCTCTCTGTTTTTTTTGCACCGATCAGGGTTCCCACTCTTTTTTTTTTACGCTGACAAAATTTCAAAACTTTTCCATGACTTTTTTAGCCAGGCTGGTGCCACCTAGTGTCCTCCGCTTAATTTAATTTCTTTCCAGCGACTAGATCAGGAATCAGAATACACTAGACGGTTCACAAAAACTCCGGAAGTGTGAGTTCAGGCATCAGCCAATCAGAGAAGAGACAGACATTCTGTGTTGGCAACGATTCCCGAGATCGAGGATTTAAAGCCGGAACAAAGAGAATGTTTGGTGAATTTTATCAAGAGGAAAGACGTTATTGTTCTTCTTCCTTGGAGATTTGGTGCATTACATACATCACAATCAAATAGCAGGGATTGGTTAAATAAAAAAGTACCCGCCTACTGTGGAGTGAACAAATCCTAATGCTGCGAGGTCACACGGTTTCCACAAAGTGAAACCGGCTGATGAATCTGACTATGACTTTTTCATGACTTGAATTGAATTTTCCATGACTACATGTGTTGAAATGATCAGACTTTTCAGGCTAAATATAAAATGTGAACTCTTTCCACTCACCTTATGGTTTGGGATTATAGTTTTTAACATTCAAAATCCTGTCAGTGTGTTTACTGTCGTCTCTTTTAAACAAAAGGTGCAGACATTTGGAAAAAATCAGAACAGCCTCATGAGAACTTAACAGAACGCTGCAGCTGAGTGAAAGAGATACTAAAATTCCATGACTTTTCCAGGTCTGGAAAATTACATTTTCAATTTCCATGACTTTTCCAAGATTTCCATGACCGTGGGAACCCTACCTGGAAGTTCTGATGCTCAGCAGCGCGAGTGTATTCAGTGTCGACTGAACAAAGGAGAGTTTATCGCTGCTTCCTGTTTCTCGTCATGGATCAACAGTGACTTTCTAAGATGTGAAAATAAACATGTCGCTATAAAATAAGACGACATGTTTGTTCACAAAAAGGCAACGATTTTTCAGGTAGGTCCTTCTGCAGCAGAACTTCCAGACCAAATAAACTCCTGATCTGCCCAAATGAAACACTCATGAACCCACAGACACGAGACACGAGACACAACACACGAGAATAAAAGTGAATCATAAAAGTGAAGATAATGTGAGATCTTTGTGTGTAAAACTCACGTGGCAGCACCAGAGGAACTTGGGGTCTTTGATCAGAGCCTGTTCTGTCAGTTTTTTATGAAACAGTTCATAAACTTCAGGCTCCAGACACTCACGCAGCTGCAGCACAACAACAACAACAATGCCCTTTATTATAATGAGTTATGCACCTGCCTGCACCTGTCAGTACCTGTACAGTATGACTAAGGTGTGTACCTGTCAGCACCTGTGTGTACCTGTATGTCTAAGCCCTGTCCATTAGAGAAAATCAGTTTCGGTGCTGCACGGAGGGTGCTCATTACCAGCTCAGTCTTTGGCTATGCTTCTATTGTAGGGAGTATTATACCTCTGTTGACACAGGCCAAGATGACATAGACTGGACTGGACTGGACATTAGCCCAGAGTCCTGAGGTTTCACGTCTCTAGAAACTTCTCTAGCCTCACGTCTCTTCTGTTCAACTCTCAGGCTACAGTTTATTTTGCGACAGCACCTGTGTGTCTAACGTCTGCACCTGTCTACTCCTGTCTACTCCTGTACGCACCTGTGTGTCTGCACCTGTCAGCACCTGTGTGTCTGCACCTGCTTTTCACCTGTCTTTTACCCATTTGTCTATGGTCTGCACCTGTCAGCACCTGTCCATACCTGTAAGTCTAAGGGTTACACTGCTGTCGGCTCCCATCTTTTACTTGTATGTCTCCGGTCAGTATCTGCTAGTCTGCTCCTGTCTGTCTGTACCTGTCAGCACCTGTCTTTAACCTATGTTTTATCTATCCTTAACTGTATGTTTAGAGTCTGAACTTGTCCTTTCACCTGTATGTCTAGGGTTTTGCACCTGTCTTTCACCTGTCGTTGCACCTGTCACTGTACCTGTATGTCCAGAGTGGAGAAGTAGCTGTTGAGGGTCTCGGGGTCGTTGATGTCGGGCTCCCAGCAGACAGGACACACCATGTCTCTGATGTGTTTGTCTCGAACGGCGATGGTGAAATGCTGCTGGAAACAACCACAGCAAACACTGCACTGGCACGACGTCAGGGACTGCATCTGAGGAAAGAACAAGACCAGGACTGAACCAGGTCTAAACCAGGTCTGAAACAGGTCTGAACCAGGTCTGAAACAGGTCTGAACCAGGACTGAACCAGGACTGAACCAGGTCTGAACCAGGACTGAACCAGGACTGAACCAGGACTGAACAGGACTGAAACCAGGACTAACCAGGTCTAAACCAGGACTGAACCAGGACTGAACCAGGTCTGAACCAGGACTGAACCAGGACTGAAACCAGGTCTGAACCAACCAGGACTAACCAGGTCTGAACAAAGACTAAACCAGGACTAAACAAAGATTAAACAAAGACTAAACCAGGACTAAAACAGGTCTGAACCAGGACTGAACCAGGACTAGACCAGGACTAAACCAGGATTAAACCAGGTCTGAACCAAGACTAAACAAAGACTAAACCAGGACTAAACCTGGTCTAAACCAGGTCTAAACCAGGTCTAAACCAGTAAACCAGGTCTAAGCCAGGTCTGAACCAAGACTAAGCCAGGTCTGAACCAAGACTAAGTCAGGTCTGAACCAGGACTAAACGAAGACTAAACCATGACTGAACCAGGACTAAACCAGGACTAAACCAGGACTAAACCAGGTCTGAACCAGGTCTGAACCAAGACTAAACCATGACTGAACCAGGACTAAACCAGGACTAAACCAGGTCTGAACCAGGTCTGAACCAAGACTAAACAATGACTGAACCAGGACTAAACCAGGTCTGAACCAGGTCTGAACCAAGACTAAACCATGACTGAACCAGGACTAAACCAGGACTAAACCAGGTCTGAACCAGGTCTGAACCAAGACTAAACCAGGACTAAACCAGGACTAAACCAGGTCTAAACAAAGACTAAACCAGGACTAAACCAGGTCTAAACCAGGACTAAACCAGGTCTGAACCAGGTCTAAACAAAGACTAAACCAGGACTAAACCAGGTCTAAACAAAGACTAAACCAGGTCTGAACAAGGACTGCACCAGGACTAAACCATGACTAAAGAGTGGCCCGTGGTTTTTAGATGGAGACGTACATCAGACTGAGGTCCTGTGTTGCTCTCTCGTCTCTTGTGAAGTGTCCGTTTTGTTTCTCCAGTGTCTTTTGGGTCGACCAGTTTCTATCTTAAAGTGTTTGTAGGTTTGAAATATTCTGGGATTTCAGGACACACACAGTTTTACCTCCAGCGGTCAAAATGTCAAGTCTGATCGTTGTATTTTAGTATTTTTCTTACCTTACTGTGTGGAAATACAGACAGGCAGATGGGGCACTCTTTGGCCAGGACCCTCTTGATAAACTCTCGGTCGTGCGACTCCCTCACGGCCTGCACCACGTCCTCCAGAGCGTAGGGGGCGCTGTTCTCCAGGAGCAGGGACAGGGCCAGCTCGCAGCGGCCCCAGCTCGGCAGGTCGTAGACGGCCAGCAGGCGGCGACAGATACGCTGCGGGAGACGGGAGGGAAACGGCAAAGGAACAATTCAACAGGCTGGATAAACTCTCCAAACTCCTGATCCACAAATGTGTCTCCTTCTCATTATTTGTTTGGAATCAGCTTCATAAATTTATATTAATGAAAAACAACGATTTTCTTCATTATTTGTCTCCAAAACCAAAATGAAAATACAGACTGAACCAGGACTGAACTGTTTTCAGTCCTGGTCTGGTCCCGGTCTCAGTCCCAGTCTCAGTCCTGGTCTGGTCCCGGTCTCAGTCCCGGTCTCAGTCCTGGTCTGGTCTCAGTCCTGGTCTGGTCCCAGGTCTGGTCCCGGTCTCAGTCCCAGTCCCAGTCCCAGTCTCAGTCCTGGTCTGGTCTCAGTCCTGGTCTGGTCTCAGTCCCGGTCTCAGTCCCAGTCCCGGTCTCAGTCCCGGTCTCAGTCCCGGTCCCGTCTCAGTCCTGGTCCCCGTCTCAGTCCTGGTCTGGTCCCGGTTTTAGTCCTGATCTCAGTTCTGGACTGGTTCTGATCTCAGTCCTGATCTCAGTCCTGGTTTGGTCCCCGTCTTAGTCCTAGTTTCAGTTCTGGTCTGGTTCCCGTCTTAGTCCTGGTCTCAGTCCTGATCTGGTCCCGGTTTTAGTCCTGATCTCAGTTCTGGTCTGGTTCTGATCTCAGTCCTGATCTCAATCCTGGTCTGGTCCCCGTCTTAGTCCTGATCTCAGTCCTGGTCTCAATCCCGGTCTCAGTCCCGGTCTCAGTCCCGGTCTCAGTCCCGGTCTCAGTCCTGGTCCCCGTCTCAGTCCTGGTCTCAGTCCTGGTCTGGTCCCGGTTTTAGTCCTGATCTCA